GGGGGGGCGGGCCCAACTCAATTTCCCCCACATAGTGGGGCCCCTCCCCAGCCTCTCCTTGCCCCTCCCCTGCCAGCCACTCCTAGCCTGCCTGCCTGGGCTCCTTAGGGCCCCAACAGGAAGCAGTTGTTGGAGCTAAACAACTCCAGAAAGAGTTGGCAAAACAGCTGGCTCAGTTCAAACTGGATCTGACCGAAAAGGAAGCTCAGCAGAAGCACCTCACTGAGGACTACGAGCATAGGCTTTCCAAGCAGAGGGAAGATCTGCGGGAGTGCAAGATCAGGTACCGGCGCCTGGAGGCTCAGCGGGCTGACATGGTCAGCCAGTTCCAGGCCATGATGCAGTTCCATTGGAACAAGGCCCTCCGGCTCTTTGCCACCAGCAGCACTTCCCTCCAGCCTTCACCCAAAGACCCACACCAGGAGGATGAAGCAGACCTCAAGTTAGAATTTCTCCCCCCTCTGACCCACACAAACACCTCAAAGGAGGAGACTCTGAAGCAACACTAACGTTCATTGCACGTATCTGGCCCAGGGGCTGTTGTTTGAAGCCCCCTGATTTAGTGCAACATAAAAAAGTACAAATAATTTTTCTGTGGACCACCACAATTTTCTCACCGACCACCAGTTGGTGACCGCTGCTTTACAACACCCTCTAAGCAGTAGCAGTTTATAGAGTCAGCATATTGCCCCCAACAATCTGGGTCCTCATTTTACTGACCTCAGAAGGAGAAAAGGCCGAGACAACCTTGAAACAGTCAGGATCGATGTCCTGGTAGTAGGCAGAGTCAGTCTGCCATATTGTATTCTAATCACTGGGCCACCAATCAGAGAACTACCTAGACCAGTGGTGGCAAACCTTTTTCTTAACAGCATGCCAAAATTGTGTGCACGCGCACTATCACACACGCACATGTGCCCACTCAATCCTCCCCTCCTCCCCCGTGCATGCACGCACGACCCCTCCCCAGGCTCCAGAGGCTTTCCTGAAGCCTGGGGAGGGCGAAAACGGCCTTCCCCAGCCCTCCAGATGCCCTCCAGAAGCCGGAAACGGATTGTTTCCAAACTTCTGGTTGGCTCATTGGGGCCATTTTTCGTCCCCAACCTCCCCCCCCCCTCAATCTGTTTTCAAAGTGATGGATTACATTGCACATGTTTTAAAGCTTGTCCTACAAATTCCCCTCTGAAACCCTAAATCCAGAAGTGGGCTTCACATAATTTAACAACCAGTTTGCCTAGTACAGAATCAAAAATATGCGCGCATGGCTTCAAACACACGGCAATTTCCTGCACGTGGCTTCCAGCACACCTTCTCAGGCAACTCGGGTGAGTAGAGCGAATGAGGCGCAGAAATCAGCCGGGCTGCATGGGCAGGGAGAGTGAGATATATAGGACAGGATAGCACCAAGGTAGCGCTCAACTGGTGGTCGGAACTACCAGTTTGCTCGAACCAGTCAGAACTGGCAGCAGCCCACCTCTGCCTAAATCCAGAGTTGGAAACTTGGTGTTTCTTCATATGATCAAATTGGCCAGCTGATGAGAGGAGCTAAAATCCAATTATTTGGAGAATGCTTGCTCACTTGCCCCTGTTGTGACATTCTGGAAACCAAAACCTGTACTTAGCCTCTATGCATCAGCCAATCCTGATTCTGTCTACAAAAATAAAGGGGAAATCTAGTCATACCGAAGGCCCTGGATAAATCACTCTGTATCTGACTGATCTAAGCGCATGTGATCGGCAACATTCTTCCGATCACATACAAGTTCTTCAAGGAAGATGGTTGCTGTGCACTTCATATATAAATTAATACTTTGCTGGGATACTACTACTTTGCATAAGTGGAACATATATCTTATCTAAAACAGCAAACTTAGTGGAAAGCCCTCTAGTGGGTAATTTAGGTAAATGCCAATTAATCAACTCACAGCAGCTAGAGAGGATCATAGTTCACAAATCACACTAAATTAGCTAAACAGTCCTCAAATGGCCTGGTCCAGGCATTACATCAAGCTCTAAATTCTGATTTACAATGTCTTGATGTACACAAAATGCATAATATGATTCCAGCGTTGAAGGGGCTGCCATAAAAAAAAGAAGGGCCCAACCTATTCTCCAAAGCACCTGAAGGCAGGACAAGAAGCAGTAAATGGAAACTAATCAAGGAGCGAAGCGACCTAGAACTAAAGAGAACTTTTCCTGACAGTGAGAAGAATTAATCAGCCGAACGGCTTGCTTTCAGAAGTTGTGGGTGCTCCATCTCTGGAGGTTTTTAAAGAGAT